TAAGACAAGTATCATCCTTTGTTGAGACTGTTAACATTTGTTGATAGACAACCCCTTGTAGAAGTATCAGATTTCACCATTCCTGTTGTGTTTGAAGGAGCCCTGGTGGTGCAGTGGTTAAGCACTCAGCTGCTAACTGAAAGGTCAGTGGTTTGAACCCACCAGCTGCTCCGTGGGAGAAGGATGCAGCACCCTGCTTCTGTAAAGATTACAGCCTTGGAAACCCTATGGGGCAGTTCTACTCTGTCCTCCAGGGTTACTATGAGTCGGAATTGACTTGAAGGCAGTGGGGTTTTTTGTTTGTTTTGGGTGGTTGTTACAGACGTTCTGTCGATTCTGACTCATAGCGACCCCATGTGACAAAATAGAACTGCCCCATAGGTTTCCTAGGCTGTAATTGCCAGGTGTTTTCTCCCATGGAGCTGCTGGGTGGGTTTGAACCCCTGACCTTTCGGTTAGCAGCTGAGCGCTTAACCATTACACCACCAGGGCTCCTCTACAGTTCCTAGGTACTGTGATAGGAAGCTCCCCTCACATCTTCCTTTCATCTATCTCCCCAGAATTACAGTTCTAGAGGAACTTAGTCATTTTACTTAGAGGACAGCTTGCTGAACTTTGCTCATTTTAGTGGATCCCACTGCAGTTCCTGTCAGCACTGCAGTTGATGTTTTGCCCTTGTGCTCCCACCCTGTCATTACGGTGGTCATTGTAAAAACCAAGCACAGTGGAGATTTGTTCTTTCTGGCTGCCCAGAAGATGAACTTCATGTCTCTATTAGGGGAATTGTTTCCTTCCAATTTTTTGTGGGAAGCAGTGTCACTACTCCCTCCCCTGCCATGACCCTCACACCAGGCAGAAAAGGGGAGTAGGGGGAAGCATGCCTTCCAAGTTCGCTCATCTCCAGATTGGGAATACAAACTAAAGAGTATGGAGTCCGAATAGTTCAGTGGTGTGGGTTTGGAGGGGAGTGGTGAGTGTGGACCTAGCAGCCTTAACTTGCTGCTTCAGACTCTGGAATTTTAGTCTTTGGCTGCCACGTTCTGACTTTGACTTGGGAATGAATCCCTTACATTGTTTGGTTACCAGTGATTTTTTTTTTTTAAATTAGTTTTTGGTTCATTTTATTAAAATTGGGCAAGACAGAGTCTGTGATTTAGCTAAATGTAAATGTTTTTACATCTCCCGGGACTGCCTACTACAGCTGTCCTCAGCTCCTTATTGTGCAGATTTCTGTGCTGGGAATCTTCGCTTTCTTTTAACCATCCCAAGTGCACTATAGTATTTTATGGTGAGAACCCCAGTGGTGATGGCCCTTCCCCATAATCCCCTTTTCAGTCAAAATACCTCCAGTTCCCTCCCTCACTATTCTTCATGGTCATTTTATACCTTGTAGCCACCGTTGGAATCTTTGATCTTCATGAGGTCAAGGTTATCATCTTTGAGCTAGATTATAATCCGCCTGATGATAAATCCACCTTCTAGTCTCTGTTTACCGTAGCATCTTGGATGAATGAGTTTTCCAAACTTTTACTTTAGGTTCTCTAACCTGATCTAGGAGAAAACAAGTTTGCTTTAGTAGCTGTTGAAATCAACTGGCGATAGGCCAACTAATGGCATTGTGGTGTTTACAGAACATTAAGTCTACAGACTATTTTATGGTTTAGACTTACCAGTTTCTTGTTTTTCCCCTGATTATCAAAACCATACGTATTCATTGTGGAAAATTTGGCAAGTACAGAGAAGTGTTAAAAACAGAATAGATCCCCCAAATTTATCTACAAATTCAGTGCAGCCCTCATCCACAAATCGATCTACAGATTCAATGGAATCCCTATCAGTGTAGCTGCCTTTTTGGTAGAAATTGACAAGCTCCTTCTAAAATTCATGTAGAAACGAATTTTAGAATAGTTGAAACAATCTTGAAAATGAAGAACAAAGTTGGTGGACTCATACTTCCTGATTTCAAAACTTACCGTAAAGCTACAGTAATTGAAACTTTGTGGTACTGGCATAAGGATAAACATACAGGTCAATGGAATAGAATTAAGAGTTCATAAATAAACCCATACATTTCTGGTCAATTAATTTTCAACAGGGGTGTCAAGAAATGCAATGAGGGGAAAAGATAGTCTTTTCAACAAATGGCACTAGGACAACTGAATATCCACATGCTAAAGAATGAATTTGGATTTCTCTTTTATACCATATATAAAACTTTACTAAAATGTATTATAGACCTAAATGTAAGAACTATAAAACTCTTAGCAATTTACATCGGTGTGAATCTTCGTGACCTTAGCCAGTCATTTCTTAGATCTGACACCAAAGCACAAGCAGCGAAAGAAAAACAGGTCAATTGAGCTTCATCAAAATTAAAAACTTTTGATGCTTCAGTGGACACTATCAAGAAAGTGAAAACCCGCAGAATGGGAGAAAATATTTGTAAATCTTATATCTGATAAGGGTCTAGTATCCAGAATATATAAAGAACTCTTACGACTCAATAATAAAAAAGAGAAAGCCCAATAAAAAATGGGCAAACTGTTTGACTAGGCATTTCTCTGAAGAAGATAACAAATGGCCAACAAGCACATAAAAAAGATGTTCAACATCATTAATCGTTAGTGAAATGCAAATCGAAACCATAGTGATATACTATTTCACACAATGAATGACTGTAATAAAAAAGATGGACAGTAACAAGTGTTGATGAAAATGTGGAGAAATTAGAACCTTCATACATTGCTAGTAGGAATGTAAAATGGTGCAGCCACTTTAGAATACATTTTAGCAGTTTCACAAATGGGTAAACATAGAGTTACCATGTGACCCAGCAATTTCACTTCTAGGTGTATACCCAAGAGAAATGAAAACATATGTCCACACAAAAACTTGTAAATGAATGTTCATAGCAGCCAAAAAAGTGGAAACGTTGTTATTCATGAATCCCAAAAAGTGGAAACCAGCTGACAGGTAAGTAAAATGTGGTACATCCATACAATGAAACATTAAAAACTTGTAAGTGAATGTTCATAGCAGCCAGAAAAGTGGAAATGTTGTTATTCGTGAATCCCAAAAAGTGGAAACCAGCTGACAGATAAGTAAAATGTGGTACATCCATACAGTGAAACATTATTCAGCAATAAAAAAGAAAGAAGTTCTGATACAGGCTAGGACATAGATGAACCTTGAAAACATTACACCAAGTGAAACAAGCAGACACAAAAAGCTACATATTATAGGATTCTGTTTATAAGAAATGTGCAAAAACAGGCAAATCCATAGATATGTAAAGTAGATAATGGTTGCGAGGGGTTAGGGTAGGAGGAAATGGGGAATGACTGCTGATGGATATGGAGTTACTTTTTGGGATGATGAAAACATTCTGGAGTTAGATTGTGATAATGATCGTGCAACCTTGTGAGTATACTGAACACTACTGAATTACATACTTCTAAAGGGGTGAATTTTATGATTTGTGAATTATATTTCAATACAAAAAGATAATTAAAAAAAAAAAAGAATAGAAGTCATTTTGATCCAGGGACAAACCAGCTCTGTCGATGGAGCTGTTTATAGTACACTTACTTGGTATCATTTACTTCCTCTTTGTAGTTCTGTGAGTCTTCCGTCAGAACTGGGACTCCAGGCTCCTTCTCTAGTGTCCTTTCCACTAACTTGCTGTCCCTGTTTTGTGAAGAATTTCAGGTGGAGAGGGGAGCATGGTAATTTGAAATTCCATTAAAATACTATTTTACAAAGTTAAGTGCTTTACTCAAACACACAGTTGACCAAAGTGTATATTTTTGCTGTGTTCAGTTAACACTCGGCACTCAGGCGCAAGGAAAGCACAAACTTGCGAAACGGTTTAGATCTCTCAGGGTTCATTAGTCTTTTGGTGGCCAGGAGTTCATGTTAATCCTTTTTTAGAGATTGTGAAAAAGAAACGAGTTAAATTAGAAACTTTCTTTAAGTGGCCATTTATCTTGGCCTGACTGCAGGTGTATATAGTCCAGGGATTTCTGTGATAACACCAAGGTAGTTTTGTTTTTATAAAATGCTAGCCATCCGAATATGCGATGGTCCATTGCTTTTCTATGAAACCAGAGAGTTTAAAGTAGAAGGCATCAAGAAAACATGTTAGCATGAAAATTCTTGTGATAATGGTTTAATTTGTTTATTTCATGCTCAACATTTCAGAACAACCAGTTACAGGTTCGGGGCTTTATCCTTTGCACTCCTTTATTGATTGTTGGTTCCTTATTAGCGGAGCGGATATCTAAAACTTCGTAAACGTAAATAAAGCTCCTTGCAAAATCACACAACACTTGGTTAGTATTTTTTTTTAAGAGAATTATTCAAACTTTTTAAAGACTTTGACATGACAATACTGTATTTTTTTAAATCTTGAACTTAAGATACTGATGCTCTGATATTTTTCTTTAATCATGTAATAAAAGAAATTTTTATTAATTTCCTGTGGAAATTTACTATTTCTAGAAGCTTATGGACAGCATGGTCCTGACTGAGGAGTTTTCACCATAGTGCAGTTGACTCCTGCCGTTGAAGTTTTTGACTTTCTGATTGAAGCAAACTTGTTTTTGGTAAATAGAATTTAGGTATGAACGTCCAAGTAAATATCAAGCATAGTCTTTCTTCTCTAGAAAAATGCTCTCAGCAAATTGATTTTAATATAATAAACACTTTCACTTGGGGTACCATAATCATTACAATTTTAGTAGATGGACCAAATTTGAATTCTAAGTTCCACAAGAGCAGAAACTGTTTTTGCCACCACTGTATGATCTTAGAGTTTATCCTGATACCTTGCACATAGTACATGCTTAATAAATATTTGTTAAATGTATATTTTAATCACATATCTATCTATTTATATTATATATACTGTTTTGCAACACAACCCCTTATCCCAATTAACTTGTATGTTCTGGATCACTAACATTGTGTGTAATAATTTTTCTTAATGTTTTTGTCTCTCTCTAGGCTGGTATTTTGTATGGCATCTTTTCTTATCTAAATTCAAGTTTCTGCGGGAACTGGTGGGAGACACAGGATCCCAGGAGGGAGACCATGAACCTTCAGGATCAGAGACGGAAGAAGACATTTCATCCTCTCCACACAGGATCAGATCTGCTCGCCAGAGGAGGGCACCTGCCGACGAAGGTCACTGACCCCAGACAGCGTCGTTTACTCGCGGATGATGAAAGGCCACTGGGAGCCTCTGTCTTTAGTGACTGGATTTTAAAATTTGCTAAAAGAGTGAAGAACATTTGTGTTTGGACCTTAAGTCCAATTAAAAAAAAAAAAAAGATTTACATGTAAGCCATATAAAAATAAAGGGAATTAAAACCAAATTGGACCATATCATTTTAAAATAATCTTTAGCTTTACTAGCTTTCTACTTATATATGTATTCCTTGGTTCTTGGGCTTATTTTCTAGCACTGGTGCAAATCTGGTAAACATTACAGGCTTTTGACACCCCATATTTTATTCTAAAGTGTGTGTTTTTCTTCACATTTTAACTTGTGTGAAATCAGGGTGCATCTTACAACTGCTGTCAACCTGGCCATAGTCATAATGTAATTATCCTGGCCCGTGCACGTGTGGACTTGGTTGTAGCTTCTCACAGTGTCATCGTTTTAACTGACTTGTGCGTTGCTGGTATCAGACGTGTCAGGTTTAATTGGCATTTAAAAATGTCTTTAAAAAGATTACACTATGATTCAGCATTGAAAAGAAAAGTTATTGTGTTTGCAGAAAAGCATGGAAACAGAGCAGCGGGGCGTACGTTTGATATTAGTGAAGCAAATATCCGTCGTTGGAGGAATGACCGCAGTTCCATATTTTCTTGCAAAGCAACAACAAAGTGCTTCACAGGACCTAAGAAAGGAAGATACCCACAAGTAGACGAAGCTGTACTACGTTTTGTCCGTGAGACACGTGCAAAAGGATTGCCTATCACACGCCAAGCGATGCAGCTGAAGGCAGGAGAAGTTGCCAAAACCCTCGGAATAGATGAAACCAAATTCAAAGCAACGAGAGGCTGGTGTGACCGATTTGTACGTCGAGCAGGACTGTCACTAAGGCATCAGACATCATTTCATCCAGTACTTCCTGCTGCTGTTAAACAGAAGATGGTGGTAGAGCACTCGCCTCAGAACTGCTGCGTCCCCAGTGCTCTGGATCACACAGACGGCACTGTGGTGTGGAAGAAGGCAGACATCGATGACTGTGGTTTGAAAAGTGATGCAGAAGAGAGAGACTCAGAATATGAAGTTATAGTTGTAACTTAACCAATTTATTTCACACATTTTTTTGTCTGCACAAGATCAAATTATGTTTGATCTATGTAACTCTAGAAGAGTTCTTTTGATAAATATTAAATAAACATTCTACATCATAAGGAAGCATTGTGTCACAATTCAATTGACAGTGTTTTTCATTATGATATATATGGTGCATCTTAACAGTTGACGGTAGATTAGATTACAGATGATATTTGTACGTTCATCCTTCTAGTATAGCAGTTATTTATTGGGGAACTTAGTTCTGCCTCATGTTGCTAAAATTAGTTAGCCTTCTATGAAGTACTTTTTTGGGGGGAGGGTGGTGGGTCGTAACCTAGTCAAGATTTTAGAGTAGTGTAACTTAGGAATCTAAGAACTATCTCCTACTTTAGGAAGAGCAGGATTAATTACTCCCTTTGTCTGGGAAGACTTCATGCTCAAGGCATGCATTGTGGAGAAAATACTATTTCACAAACAACAATTCAGTGATAAGACCCCAAAGGTACTTGGTATTGAGAAAAAAATATAGTGGGTGAAAATGCCCACTCAACTGTAAAGCGACTCTTGCCAGGTTTCTGTGTTTGTCTGCCCTGAACTTTGGACTGAATTTACTAGAGAAGGAGAGATAAGGATTAAAGAACTTTCTGTTTATTAGTGTTCACTGCTTTGTAGGAGAATGAATTGCAAAGCCAACTTGTTTTATTAATCTAAGTTCTTTTTATGTTTTTAACCTTTGTTTTTCAAGAATTAGTCATCATAAAATATCATCCCTATTTTATGATAGTGTGTAATTATATTTGATACCTCATACTTCGTGCTGACGGTTTTGGTTTCTTACTAACAGTTCACTTGATCTGCCCCAAGTTGTATTCCCAACGAACACCTCCTTGCTGTCATTGTAGCTCTTAGAATATGCTAAAAGTGAATTCAGAGAGCATAGTTTTAGCTTTAAATGTTTTGTAGAGGAAGATCCCCAGCAGCTGAGACTGGAGACAATCTTTCTGTCTTCATTTCCTTATTGGATGCAATTTTCTATTTTTATGTGACTACAGGGATTCACAGAACAGTGCCGTGAGTTTCAAGCATTAATTTTAATGCTTCATACTAGCTTAATATCACATTAAAACGATCCATTAGTTAGAAAAAAATTAATGCCTAGAAAGGTTCTTGGTACTGGGAGGACATTTAAATTGGGTCTAGTGTTTTGAGCTGTGGATTCTGCCTTGTAGTGGGTATCTTAGGTTTAGATAATAATAGTTGCTGAAAAACACGTCAGCGTGCGAGCTTCCTATTGTGTCAGCGTTAAAGAATGATGACTGGCAACCTCCCAAATCAGCAAGGGTTGCCCCCAAATTCATTTACCCCATGTAAAGGTATACATGTTGACATTATTTATTGACACTTATACTTCAAGAATGTCCTATTTTATGGAATTTTAAGTGTTCTGCTTAATTGAGAAATATACCCAAAAGCGTATTAATAGCCCACATTTACCATGCTTTAATTCTCAACTAGGTAAGTAAAAAAAAAGTCACCAATGTCAATATGAAAATCCTATAGACTAGTTCCTTTGTTTAAAACTTAAAAACAAAAAATTTTTCTCTCTGCACACCACCCACAACAAAACCACCACATTACCTGTTTCTGAGGCCACTAAGAGAAGCAAGAGGAACAATGTTTACACAGAATGATTTATGAGGTAGAGTGTTCCTGTTCTTTTTTCTTATTGTTGCTGTGTTTTTGTAGTGAACTTACCAGAACTAGGGCACAAGTGCATTTTCAGTCTCTCACTAGGAGATGGACTAGCCTGTGGTTGATATTAAAATTTAAAAGATTATAAGCATTAAAAACATATACAAATATTAGAATCTTATCTGAATCCTCACAAAGCGTGATGGTGATAAAGTCTGTCACTTTTTGAGGATTCATTCTGAAATTGAGGATTCTGGTAAGTGGTTTCATTTCCTTCCCAACCAACCATTCCCAAATCTTTTTCTTCTTTTGCCTCTGAAACTTTTGTGAAAATTGCCTATATACAGTGATTATATGGGTAGCATTGCTCTGATTTAAATGCCAAAAAAAAAAAAAAACCCACTAAATATTTGTGTAGCATTGTTAAATAGGTTTCTAATATTTACACCAAGCTAAAAATAGAATTCATCTAATGGATTTTGTAATGATGTTTTCACAGTGGAGACATTAAATACATTGTAACACGGTGGAAAGCCAATTCACAGACTTGCTGACCTATTTCTTTAGATGCAATTAGGTTGAAAAACAATGTCAAGATGTTATTTTACTGAACATTTGCAACGTTAAGTAATGGCTTCACAAAAATGTGGCATTTTAAACCAAAATGTGTTGAAAGATTTGAAAGTAGGGTGTTTTTATTTTTAAGAGTAACAAGTTTTGAAATTATTTTACATCAGTGATGCAATCTTTTTTAAAGTCAACTTTTCTTAAAAGCTGTGTTTTAATGTAACATGTAACCAATGTAACTTTAGTTTTTGACTGGTTCACTTCAAGTGCTTTTATACTTGAAGTTCTCTTTGAAAAGCCAATGAGCATTACTCAAATGTTGTAGACTTTCAAGCAACTAATGGAATAGCGTTTTGTCGTGGAGTCTAGAACTAAAGCATCTTGTATTGTCTGCTTTTAAAGTATCCTATAGTTTCTAACTTAGAGCATAAAGAGGAACATTTTCCATTTGTTAATGTACAGGTGCCGCCTGTTTTATGAAGAATGTTTAGCATTATCCTTCAAGTCAGTTCTATGCATAACCCTTCCCCAAATACTGCTGCTGTGGTTTCTTAAACACCCTGTGCTGTGTGCTGTGATGCATTGCCATCTTGCTGCTTGACAAACAGGTTTATAAGGAACTAGACTTGTGTGTCTTAATAGTGTCTTTGTATAACGAGATGTAAATTTAGAGATGAGGAATGTGTATGAATGATTATTTCCCTCTTCACTGTTTTTGTTTTAAAACTACTGTATCTAAAGCTTCTGTGGTTTGTATGATGTTTTAACTTTCCCTTTAAAGTGCACAGAATAAATCATAATGAAAACAAAAGTTGTGTATGTCCCAGTGATAACATAGAATAAGTATGAAGGGATTGTTGGTCATTTTTATTAATGGTCCACACTTAAGCTCCTCTAAAAATCTTGAAGAATTAAAATAGTCGTAGTATTCCTAGTGCCACCAAAGTAATTGACTTAGAATCTAAAGGACTTGACAGCATTAGATCTAAATGACATTCACCGTATTTAGCCTTTCGTTTTCTTCTCATACTTTATCACCCCCAGGATTGTCTCGAGAATCTGTTTACTTTAGATCAGGTCTCACATTTTTCTTAATATTAGCCACCAGGAGGATTGAGAGGGGAAACTGATGAAAGCCAAGTATTGAGATTGAGGAATGCCATTGAAAACCCATATAGATACGAAGCCATGAACTGCAGTGGCTAAGGGTCAAGGTGTGATTTTTGGCCAGCAGTGCTCAGCTGCCAAGAATGTAGGATGGGAAAAAGTGGATTGTACCAGGGCCAGGTTTTATAAGGTAGGTGCGGCTAAAGGGCAAGGTCATTAAAGATTGCTAGAGATTAGCCCTGGGATTTGGGCTGGGTTGTAAAAGAACTAAGATAGTAAATACTGATAAATTAGGTGTATGGGGAGTAGGGGATTGAAGATATTTATGAACGTGGCATGTATGTATGGTGGGCAGAGTAGGAAGTTTAGGACAGAGAATGGAATATTAGAGGTGAAGCAGTTTGGATGGAGAAGACGACCATGAGCTGGGTGCCAGGTCTGAGACTTGGAAGACTGATTTCAAGGTCTGGAGATTCCAGGGGGAATAAGCATTATAAGGAGGAAGGAGATTTCCTGAGTGGAAGAGGAATGTTCTGGGGGAGGTTCAAGAATGCCATTGTCATCCTGACCCTTGTGGGGCCCTGCAAACCAGTAGGGGAAATTGAAACGTATTTACATTGTTATATGCAAATAAATACTTTAACTGAGCTATAAAA